AAAAAAAAACAAAAACTAGCAAGTGAAATTTGAACAGATGCTTTCTTTTCCTCCAGACATTTCTCTACACGCAGAGCAATAACGAAGAGATTCAATTATAATATCAAATTAGGACTCATTCTTTCTTCTTGTAAATAGGAATGGTAATCTAATAAACAGGAAAAATTCAATCTCATTAATAATCAAATAACAGCAATTTAAAGTGTGATGCTATTTTCATCACTAATTTGCAAAGATTTGTAAAAAGAAATACTTTTGGCAAGGCTCCAAAGAGACTCTTAGCAAGGTTACTACTGAAAGTGAAGATTGGTGTAAACTTTCAGGGAAGCAATTGATTGACCACAAGAAATAAGACTCCTTAAAATGCTGATACCTTTTGTTACAGTAGTGATACTTCTAGAAATCTGTTTTGAGGAAATAAGCAGGGATGTGGTAAGAGATTTATTGAAAAAGAGAGATAACTATCACAGTATTGTCTTAAAGCCTTAACATTGGAAACTTCATAAATGGCTAGAATTAGAAAAATGTTTACTTGTACTCACCCAATGGAATATTGTTGCTGTTGTTAGGTCCCGTCGAGTCAGTTAGGACACAGTGACACTATGCACAGCAGAATGAAACACCGCCCGGTCCTGCGCCATCCTCACAATTGTTGTTACACTTGAGCCCATTGCTGCTGCCACTGGACCATTCCATCTCGTTGGGGGTCTTCCTTTTTTTGCTAACCCTCCACTTTACCAAGTATGTCCTTCTTCATACTTGACAATATGTCCCTTCTGATAATACAACCAAAGTATGAGAGGAAGTCTTGCCATCTTGGCATCTAAAAAGCATTCTGGCTGAATGTCTTTAAAGATAGATTTATTTGTTCTTTTGGCAGTTCATAGCAAACCATCTTCTTCTCCAACACCATAATACAAATGCACTGATTCTTCTATGATCTTCCTTATTCATTGTTCAACTTTTACATTAGGTCTGTTTTCACATTTTTATATATAGTTAATGGGATATTGTTGTTGTTGTTGTTAAGTTCCATCTAGTTGGTCCTGACTCAAAGTGACCCTGTATGGGGTTTCCGAGAAGCAGTTGGTTGGTTTGAACTAGCTACATTGTGATTAGCAGTGTACCAGGTCTCCAATGGGATATTATCATATATACATAAAAAATTATAAAAAATTAGTAACATGAAAAATGTTCTTGATGCAATGTCAGATAAAAAGCTGAATTCCTTATACGCTATATGATTCCATTTGTATAAAATACTTCTCTCTATATGCAGAAAAAAGACTTAGGCATACCCATGCATGTAAGTATTGGCGGTGATTATCTCTAAACTGCTTCTTCAATGATTATGTATTTTTCAAGATTCTACACTTAGTAGACATTGTAGTTGATGTTGTTGTTAGGTGCCATCGAGTCAGTACCAACTCATAGTGACCTTACGCACAACAGAATGAAACACTGCCCGGTCCTGGGCCAACCTCACAGTCATTGTTAAGCCCGAGCCCATTGCTGCTGCCACTGTGCGAAGCCATCTAGTTGGGGTTCTCCCTCTTTTTCTAAGACCCTCCGCTTTACCAAACATGATATCCTTCTCCAGTGACTGGTCCCTCCTGACAATATGCCCAAGTGTGAGACATGAGGTTTAGTCATCCTGGCTTCCAAGGAGCACTCTGGCTGTACTTCTTCCTACACAGATCTGTTGGTTCTTCTGGCAGCCCATGGTACTATCAATATTCTCCTCCAACACCATAACTTAAAAGCATCAATTCTTCTGTGGTTTTCCTTATTCACTGTCTAACTTTTACAAGCATATGAGATTATTGAAAATACCATGGCTTGG